TCAGTACACAGACTGAAACATGGAACAAAAACCCACAACCCTAAGGTGAACACTGACAGTTTAAATATGGCTCCCAATCAGAGATAACGAGCCGACAGCTGACACTCGTTACCTCCGATTGGGAGTCACATGACGAGACAAGACACTACAACCAAAACCAAAACACAACCAAATGAACACACCCTATACCCAACACAACCAAATGAATACACCCTGGCTCAAACTACACAGTCCCGGAGCCAGAGCGTGACAGTACCCCCCCCCTAAAGGCGCGGACTGCGACCGCGCCTCAATACGGGCTAAACAAGGGAGGGCTGGGCGGGCATACCTCCTCGGCGGTGGCTCTGGCTCCGGCCTTGATCCCCACCTCCTCTGCAACCCCCCCAAAGTACCCCTGGTCCTGTCTAGCCCCGCTGGCCGGAGCCGGACTGACGACACGCGCCCCTGGCTTGGTGCGTGGAGGACGAACGGGCCTTACCAGGCTGACGACGCGCACCACTGCCTTGGCGCGGGGAGCAGGAATGGGCCGGACCGGGCTGACGAAGCGCACCCTTGACTTGGTGCGGAGAGCGGGACCGGGCCGGACAGGGCTGACGAAACGCACCACAGACTTGGTACGGGGAGCAGGAACGGGCCGGACAGGGCCGACGAAACGCACCCTAGGCTTGATGCGTGGAGCCGGAACGGGCCTCCCCAGGCTGACGACTCGCATCCCTGGCTTGGTGCGAGTAGCAGGAGTGGGCTGGATCAGGCTGACGGCTCGCACCCTTGGCTTGGTGCGAGTAGCAGGGACGAGCTGAACCAGGCTGACGACTCGCACCCTTGGCTTGGTGCGAGTAGCAGGAACGGGCTGGACCAGGCCGACGACTCGTACCCCTGGCTTGGTGCGAGTAGCAGGAACGGGCTGGACCAGGCTGACGACTCGCACCCTTGGCTTGGTGCGAGTAGCAGGGACGAGCTGAACCAGGCTGACGACTCGCACCCTTGGCTTGGTGCGAGTAGCAGGAACGGGCTGGACCAGGCTGACGACGCACACCGTAGGCTTTGTGCGTAGAACAGGAACAGGCCGGGCTGGGCTGACGACGCACACCGTAGGTTTTGTCCGTGGAGCAGGAACAGGCCGGGCTGGGCTGACGACGCACACCGTAGGTTCTGTGCGTGGAACAGGAACAGGCCGGACCGGGCTGGCGACGCACACCGTAGGTTTGGTGCGAGTGGCAGGAACAGGCCGGGTCGGGCTGGCGACGCGCACCGTAGACTTGGTGCGGGTGGCAGGAACAGGCCGGACCGGGCTGGCGACGCGCACCGTAGGTTTGGTGCGAGTGGCAGGAACAGGCCGGGTCGGGCTGGCGACGCACACCGTAGGCTTGGTGCGGGGGGCAGGAACAGGCCGGGCTGGGCTGGCGACGCACACCGTAGGCTCTGTGCGTGGAGCAGGAACAGGCCGGGCTGGGCTGACGACGCACACCGTAGGTTTAGTGCGTGGAGCAGGAACAGGCCGGGCTGGGCTGACGACGCACACCGTAGGTTCTGTGCGTGGAGCAGGAACAGGCCGGGCTGGGCTGGCGACGCACACCGTAGGCTTGATGCGAGAAGCAGGAACAGGCCGGGCTGGGCTGGCGACGTACACCGTAGGCTTAGTACGTGGAGCAGGAACCGGCCGGGCTGGACTGGCGACGCACACCGTGGGCTTGGTGCGTGGAGTAGGAACAGGCCGGTCCATACTGGGAACACACACCACTGGCCTTAACCGGGGATCAGGAACGGGCCGGACCGGACTGGTAACACACCTCAGTCTCTCACGCTGTGCCTCAACTACTTCCCTCCCTCTACTCGCCAATGGCTCCCGTACTCCGGTAGCCTTCTCTCCACGTCTCCCTGTGGCAGCCTCCTGCTGCCCAGCCGCCCAAGCCATGTGCCCCCCCCAAAAAACTTTTTGGGGTTGCCTCTCGTCCCTCCGACGATGGCCCTGCTGACGCCGTTGCTCCTCTCTCGCCAGGGCCTTGATCCTCCCCCAAGGTCCCTTGCCCCCGAGCATGTCCTCCCAGGACCACGATTTGCCCACCTGGGCCATCGCCAGCCTCTCGATCTCCTTACCCGGCGCTTCCTCCCATGTCCAGTCTCCTTGCTCCTGGACACGCTGCTTGGTCCTTTTTTGGTGGGTTTTTCTGTCACGGCCGTCTACGGAAGGAGTGGACCAAAGCGCAGCGTTTGTAGCGAACATGACTTTATTAAAGTTAAAGTGCACGAACGAGAAAACAATAAACAATGACGGATAGTGAAGTCCTCAGTACACAGACTGAAACATGGAACAAAAACCCACAACCCTAAGGTGAACACTGACAGTTTAAATATGGCTCCCAATCAGAGATAACGAGCCGACAGCTGACACTCGTTACCTCCGATTGGGAGTCACATGACGAGACAAGACACTACAACCAAAACCAAAACACAACCAAATGAACACACCCTATACCCAACACAACCAAATGAATACACCCTGGCTCAAACTACACAGTCCCGGAGCCAGAGCGTGACACAAACAGAACTCCTCGAAGGCTGGCTTGACAAACGTGGTGTACTGGTTAAGGATCTGCTCCAGGTCTCTGCCTCTCTTCATGTCCCGCAGAACTGCAGGTCAAAACCAAAACAACAACAACCAGGTCAGGACCAAGACAACAACAACAACCAGGTCAGGACCAAGACAAATGTGACAATTCAGTATATACATCAAATATGCTAGAGAAAAGTGTGTGTATGAGTATGGAAGTGGACGTGCATGTGACAATCCCCTTGTTAGGTGTGTGTGTGTTTCAGTAGTACCTCTGCGGGACAGCCTGACATCAGAGTCAGTGTCCACAAAGAGCTTCATGTGAAACATGTCCCTCACTTCCTGAGAGTAGAATACCAGAATGCCCTCAAATAGAACCACATCAGCGGGGTACACCGTGATCCTGTCCTGCAGCCTGGAAAACACACACACATTAAGCACCAAATGTATAGTACACACAGAGGTATTCTATTGACAGACTAACTTTCACGTGAATGCATGGTGTGTGTGTGTGTGTGTGTGTTAATTAATCTGCAAATGCATTGACATTCATGTCTGAGGCTGCACACACCGGGACGATGAACGGCCGAAAGCAGTAGGTGCCGTGCTCTATGATTCAACACAGAATCAGAATGGCTGTCTGCGCTTAGTTTTCACAGTGGCAAATATATTTTAAAAAATATATGGCACACGACACCGGTCTGATTGACGCCTGTCTCAGTGGACTAATCCATTGGAGACCGCGGGGATGGCACACCAGTACCACCACTAGTACATTTACCGTTAATTACCATCATTTCTAATTACAATGTTTGTTTATGGTAATTTATGTTAATGATTTTTTTCTGTTAATGCATTCAATGTATTATTATTACAGTCTTACCGTTGTCATTGTCGGAGTGGACGCGTTGTTTGCAGAGCGCACAACCTACGTTTATTTCTGAGTTGTTAATTTATTCATTGTCTTTTGTTTGGAGAGCGCCTGTCAATCTTGAGTAAGGACACGCACCTTGTAACACATAGAAGTAGGCCTAGGCTACCTGGCCTGTGCGCAAATGTAGGCCTATAAATGTGCCCATTTGGGGATCTGATACTATTTCTGATTTTCTTAATTCACCATCACTGTGGAGCTTCTCAAAGTAATTTTTTCTTTGCCTCATACAGCAAGTAAATGAAGTCTGTTTTTACATCCATTGAAAATGACAATAGTTCCTCAACGTAGCCTATTTCAAAATTATTTCCAGCTCTCTCCCTTTCGATAACCACACAGCATGAAAGGCAAAATAAATGTCATCCTCTGATCCAGTGGAAACGTCACAATATAGGCCTACCTGATTACTTCTTATCCCTTGCGCAAAATAGCCTACAGCTGTTGTCTGTCTGTCCGGAACTCACTGGCACAGAAAACTGAGGGCCCAAAACATTTTATACAATGTTGCAAGTTTGCTAGCACGAGCATCAGGCTGGACCAAGTTAATAGTTGATACAATGTTTTAAGTTCCTTGCAGACAGGCCATGCGTAGCCAATGGGATTTATAGTATATTTATTTTTATCAGGATATTTTCTACCTGCAGGCTGCAATGTTTTTATTTGTTGGCTTTATGTAGGCTATTTTTACATAGTTGGCAATGGCATTGATTTTGAGTTTTGAAGACTATTATAAATTAAATGAAACTGTTCTACGAAAATGAAAATCATAACTGGCACGCACGCAGTTCAGTAGAAATGGTACGATAACTTGGCACTCCAAATGGAAAAGGTTACCGACCGCTGGCGTAGCCTATTACCGGCAACTTCAGGAGCGTAACGGCAGAATCTGCGAAGACCAGCAGTAGAGGGAGGAGGGGGGTCAGGAACAGTTTTTTAAAAATTCTGGTTAGGCTATATTGATCTCTGGCTCCCTCTTTAGTCATTTGTGTGTCTTCATTTTTAATCGCAGTGCTTAAAGCATCAGACAAGCTCCGTAGCCTACATATAGTTGATTTTATTCAAACATAGGGTGTTTGGAAAAATACACGTTTTAAAAGCGATTGGTCAAAAGAACAGACGACTCTCGGGTCAACCAGGATTTTATTTAGTTGGGAACTGCCCTAGTGTGCAAAACGTTTGATCTTTTGCCAAACGTTTTGCAACGGAAACCGTTTACTCTAGGGTCCAAACGGAAGCATACAGACTAAACGAAACGGGGAGAGACCCATCTGAATTTGTCCAAAATAAACTTGTTTTCATTGCACAAAGTTTTCAGTTTGGAGTAAATGTTTTGCAACAGACTAATGCAATGAAATCAGACTAATGAATACACCCAGTTCTTTTGGTTTTTCTTTTTCTTTAGGTCAAGGGTCATCTATCTGAGCTCTGGAATGTGGAGGGTGGGCATTTTTGATCCCGTCTGTCTGAATTCAAGAAGGGGCATTTCTGTACACTGGGTCTGGATGGAATGTTTCCTTCTCACCTGGAATGCGTGACAAAGTCATATGTCGGCACCTCCACAACACTCCCCTCCACACTATCCTTCAGGGTTTGGTACATCAACTCTTTGTCGAAAGCATCTGTAATAAACATTAAGGTTATTAACTCAATTACACTGTTCAGCCAGAACATTAGCCATTTATAATTCTAGCAAAGATTCATTAAACGCCATGATTAACTAAATCCACGTTATCTAAGTGATAAGTGACTGACTGAGAGCTTATGTTATTACAACGATTATACTTATGTTATTACAATTCATACAGGCCTGTAGTACATTTTACATTTACGTTTTAGTCATTTAGCAGACGCTCTTATCAAGAGCGACTTACAGGAGCAATTCAGGGATTCTAACCAGCGACCTTTCGGTCCAATCTTTAGGCCCAACGCTCTTAACCGCTAAGCTACCTGCCACCCCCACCTGGGTGGTCAAAGTTGTAATGGCCCTTGAGTGCCTTGGCCTTCTGGTCAGGTGTCAAGACTCTGTAGAAACTGTCTTGGCTGACGATAGCAACTTTCCTCTGACGATGGTCCACCTTGTACTGGCCCAGCAACTCCATGATTTTGGCACATACTGTTGACTAAAAAACAGACAGGTTTATTATTTCCTAGATTAGCACAGTTTAGCTAAATCTATCACATAGAAAGGGGTTATGTGTATTTCAACATTTTGTGAGTTGAGTAAAGTTTCCATGAATTGTGTGTAATATACCATGTTAAAGACCACGCAGGAAATGTATTGACATTTGGCATATTTTCAGTTTGATGATGAGGTTGGAGCAGAGAGCAGTAGCTGACACATTTCAAAATAATCTCACAGACAGAAAACAAGACACTAACGTTAGTTTAATTGATGGCTTGGTGGCAAGAGACGTCCCCATTTCATTAGCGATGTCACATTGTAATGAATACTCGGACAGAGTGGTAAGATCCAATCGCAGAATAGCAATGCTTTATTAGAGTACAGACAAGGGAATAGCTTAATCGTGGTCGGGCGGGCTGTGGTCAAAACCGGGCCAGGCATAGACAGGCAGAGGTACCAATGGAGCAGGCTTAGTCGTAGTCGAGGGCACAGGCACAGGATCAGAGGACGGTAATCACTGGGGTAGACAAGCAGAGGATTAAGCAATTCGGGGAGTCAAACAACAAGGCACAGGTCGGATACACGGGTAATCAAAAACAACAAACTCTCTCTCTCACTTCGGAACAAAACGCTTAGCAAGTCACAATGGAACAATACCTCTCGCCGACTGAGCTTCTGAGCACACCTTAAATCCTACACTAATTACTGACAGGTGTGCTCAGAACTCAGGTGAACCAGATCGAGTCTGATGACTCCCCCTCTCTGTAGATCGGGGAAGTGTCAGACTCTGTCTAGACCCTGCCAACCCCCGATCCCTTACACACATCACATCACGAGTTCTCCTATTCCTGCATGACAACTGTTAGAAATTGCATAATTCAAATCTGGTATTGGAATAATAGAAAACATAATCAAGAGATATTCATTCCAAGCTAAATTTATTATATGCAAAATGTATGTATGATAAGTATGTTGGTTCGTATACGGGCTCACTGAAATACCACGCAGGGCAGACAGAGAACTAATCCATTGTTACAGGTTCTTCTTTAAATACTCTGACAGAGATCGTTCCCACTCTCTGCTGGCCAATCAGAGTAGAGACTGAGCGTGGTTTAGACTTACTCAGCCAATCCGTTGGCGCACGGGCTGGTCCCAACCCTTGGCGCTCCACCTGTTGCACACTGTTGCCAGGCATAAGTTTATCATAACAACCTGTGGAGTTAGCACCCAAAAGTCACCACTGTACTGTGAGTACATACGTTCAAGGATGGTTCACAGACAACAAAGAGGCAGTGTTCGTATCTGTAAGAAATACAAGTCTTATCTGTCCTTCCCCCTAACGTTCCTTACATGAATCACAGCCTGTTATGTGAAACAATTTATATCAGTGTAGTACAAACCTATGCTTATCATTAATGCATTCCTTCTAAGCTATTCATCACATACAGATCCAATTATGAGAAAGCAAATCCCAACAATCCCCCTTTTCACACACACTGGGTGTGAACCCAAAATAAGAAAACCCAAAATAAGAAATTTCAGGGAAATTTGGATTCCCCCTTTTGACACCCTCTAGGGCACATGTGTCAAACTCATTCCACGGAGGGCCGAGTGTCTGCGGGTTTTCGCTCCACCCTTGTACTTGATTGATGAATTAAGGTCACTAATTAGTAAGGAACTCCCCTCACCTGGTTGTCTAGGTCTTAATTGAAAGGAAAAACCAAAAACCTGCAGACACTCGGCCCTCTGTGGAATGAGTTTGACACCCCTGCTCTAGGGTGTCACTCATTAAAATACAATACAAACAAAAATAATCACACTTTTATTAATAGACAATAATGATAATAAAAAGGCCTTCAGTTCTTCCATCTACACCTAACTTGTACTGAGTTGGCTACCAGCCACCCAGGAATCCTTTACCTTCACATAAGGAAAGAGAAACATTCACAATGGTTAACTTGATTAATAAAGCATAAAACACAGGATTAATAGAACACAAAACACAAGATTATTAAAACATAAAACACAAACAGGGAAGTAAATTTTGGCCCCCTTTAGACACCCTCTAGAGTGTCACTCCACCAAGCCTGGTAGGTCATATCCTTCATTCCTTAGGTCGGAGTCCGGGATTGGGCCGTATCTCACCATCTGTTGGGAAACCGCCTTCTCCATCTCCTTTTCTCACCAATCCTCAGACACAGGGAATAAGACAACATCCACAAAGAACAAGTATACCCATAGAAGCTATAACTTTACCCAGAATAGTTACAACAATAGTTTTCCATTTACCAAATATGTTATCAAACCAACCGTTTAGGGAGCTATCAATACCAGAGTTCTCAGCCAGTTCGTTCGCCAGCGTGGTCACTCCCTCAAGCGCTTTGGTGCTGTATTGTTTGAGGATGAAAGCACAGCACATAGATCCAAACAGAACACAAACTCCACCCCGCTCAGCCAAAAGCATATCTAAAGCTATTCTATTCTGCCATGTCATTAAGCTAGTTGCCGCTGTCTGCTCAGCTAATCCCTTTATTGCATCACGAGTGTGGTTTATAAATCTCTGCTGGTTATAGTAAATATAATTTATCCAATCTACATTTTTATTAATTGTTGACCACCAGAAAAGACTTGATTCAAACCCAGCTGCGATCTGATTCCTAGCTTTGAATTCTTCTGGAACCCCTCGAGGTACTCCTATCCCATCAATATATATCCTTTCATCAAAGGATCCCGGGAGGAGGTCCTACTTTCTACGTGACAACTCACCAGTCTCTGACACGTTTGATTGTTTGCATATGTAGGTGAGTTCACAATCTGTTATCACCACACAACCATCAGATGTCAGCACGGGCCTGGTTTTGGTTCCTAAAATCCTCTGGCTGCAATAATGAGGAGAGATTAGTCATGGTCTCTTTAGTTGTGATATTCTCTGTGTGGGAGCAGGAGCTAAGATGCCCTACCCTGTATCCTATCTTACTAGTCCTAGAAAAACAATAATAAGAATCCCCTGAGACTTCGAGACTTCCCCCTGAGATCGGGGGATGCAGATAGTGCAAGTTACCATAAGACTCCTTCACCACATTCCCAGGTGGCTTGAACAATTTAATCATGGAGGATAAACCTGACAGAGAGTTAAAGCCTGTCAAGGGGAACGGAGTAGTTGTTAACCTTGGTTTGGCTGTCCTACAGGCATAACAGTCCTCTTTAGACATAGTTCTTGCCGTATACTGAATCCATTCCAACCACAGGTTAAAATCTATTTACTCCGTCTCCATTTGTACTACTTCCTTCAGGTCTATAGTTTGCACTATCTTTACCACAGCCCCGGTCTCACTACCTCCCTCAGAGAGGTTTACTCTATAGGGTGCCCCAGTTGAAGAGGATATCTCACTTGTCAGGTCTGTAACCTGTTTTAGCGTAATTCAGACTTTCAGACAGTACCTACCCTTATATGGGTCGCACTGCCATTTCTGGTAATTCCCTACTTTCACAATACTACACCTGTCCCTAAACTGTGTATGGAGATTGACATTCCCCCCCCCCCCCCCCCCCCCCCCCCCCCCCCCCCCCCCCCCGCTTGGTATGAGCAACTACATAGTCCCAGGATGTACATGGTGACATACATATGGTGATGTCCTTCCCTAAAGTCCCTAGTACTTCCCCTTTTCCTTACGTCTAGCTGTCTCCTATGCCTTCGTAGACTGTGCTCAGGTATTATTTTATCGACTTGTGTTAGGTTAACTACTACTTCTGGCTGATCAGGAGGGTCTGTGTGTGCTAGGAATATGGCCCCCACAATCAGACAGCTACCTACCGTCGGGAGACCTGTGAATCCCCACCCTTGCCCTGAGAACATGTCAGACGCCAGAGGCCAACCCATTGCTTCACCTTCTATCGAACTCACACAGGGATGATCAGACAGGGTAAGGGAATCTTCGTTAAGGAGCCAACCCCCGAGCCCTAGTGGTGATCGGTTCTTTCTCCTAACTCTGTGTTTGTTCGTCAGGTGTAACTGGGTTTACCTTTTTGCAGTGTTTGACATGCACCCAGGTGGATCTAATAGGACTTGGTAGGGCCCTTCCCAACAGGCCTGCTTCAGTCTTTCTTCTTTTAGGGACTGGATGCTCACCAGTCTCCTGGTTAGATATAGTGGGTCACCTTCTCCTTTAGTTCACCTGTGGGGCACAAAACCTCTGACATACGAGTGTGGTTAATAAACTATCTTCACACATGTTCAGTTCTCATTTTCTAATCTTTTTTAAAAAATTTGAAGTATTTTGTCCTCTCCTTCGTATATATTTATTATTTAATCCTACCATCCCCCTTTTTGACACATGATTTGCCCATGTGTCAATACTACCACCTACCTAAACAATCACTTAGGTAATATCGGTAATTCATTATCCAATTACCATCCCTCCACTCTCTCTTCTGTTATTTTATGGTTCAAATCATATATATTATTACCAAATTATAATCTTCTTCACACTTTTCACAGTATTATAAATTACCCTCAACTTAGTAAAATAAACTCTTAAAGTCCTCCTCTCATGCCTTTAGAATTTACTAGTGTGGATGATTAATTAACACCAGAAGGTTAAAACAGAGTTCAGAGGCAATTGAAATTATTCAACGAACTGTTTAATCCCATAGTATACTAAACATTACCATTATTCTAAATATTTCATAAATGTTAGTTATCCCAAGTGTTCATTAAGTCCTCATGACATTCATTCTCATAAGAAATCATATATACCCCAAACTCAGCCAAAACCTAAAAAACTCCATAAAATTCACTGTGTGTGCTCCTCTAAGACCTATCACCCTTGACCTGCTGAAAACCCCCCAAAATTGAAACAACAAGGCTTTATAAACATCATACTAGGTGTGTTGTTTTTTGTTTGAAAAACCCAATTTGAAAAATAACAACCACAAATAGCCAGGCCTCACTTAATTTGGTAGCTCACTTTTATGACC